ATTTTTAATATTATAATATAATTAAATATTTAAATGTTACCATTTCTACAATTTTCTTTATTACGTTTCCTTAATTAAGATTTATTAATAACTTCCATATTTAATAGAAAATATTGTAAATGACTGAAATACCCTTATTGATTAATTTTAATTAGAAAAAAATAGAATTTTTCTAATGGTCGAAATTGGTTTACACGGTTTCTTAGAAATGCACGGTTTTCATTTGAACGTGCCCCTATATATATATAGAAGCAAGTTCAAATAAGAACGCTAATTATTTAAGAAAACAAGAAAAATGTCGTTAATGTATAAAATATCATACATGATTCATATATATATATATATATATATATATTCACCTAGAAAATCATACAAGTTCAAAAATCGTCCGCTTCTATTTTTTGCCGTAAATGTAAAATCACATGTGATTTTGTACCTTAACATCATTTTTCTTGTTTTCTTAAATAGTTAATGTTCTTATTTGAACTCTCTTTCTCTCTCTCTCTCTCTCTCTCTCTCTCTATATATATATATATGTGATAATCGGGTTCCGATTATACATATGAAGTAATTATTATTTGATTAAGTGAGTAAGTAATTAATTGTTATAATTGATCACGTGGTTATATACATGCATGTATATGTAAATGATGTGTATGTGCATGTTTGTGCATGGGGTTGTGAGGGGAAAAGGATATTTTTTTATACTATTCCTTTAAATCGCTCCTGGTATGAAAAGTATAAGAAGATAAATGTTTTAAAGAAGAAGGGGTTTATGCCGTTTTAGAAAGGTTTGAGGGAAAGTAAATCTGTGTGATTTCTTGCCAAAATTAAAAGTTAAAGTTGATTGTGGGATCAATTTGGTAGTTTTTCTTGTTTGCTATTTCATCTTCAAATTTCAAATTCTTGCATAAAGATGAATCTTTCTAAACCATCTTTGAATTTGATTACGAAGACTGGTTTTGTAGGCTTTACACTGTTGGTGTACATATTATATATATATATATATATATATATATATATATGTGTGTGTGTGTGTGTGTGTTCTTGTGAAAATGCATGATCCGATGAGGGACTGTAATTGGACATAGTGTTGTCCGGTGAGAGTCCCTTCCGGTCATGCCTTGACCGGTGAGGAGTTGAGTATTTTCATGCATCATTTGGTGAGGACTTTACTAGATGAAGTGTTGTCCGGTGAAGACCCTTATCGGACAAATGTCGTGCAGATTGGGCAGCTCATTTCAAGGGGGTGCAACACTTCTCAGTTTGGGCCTAATATTTAAGGGATTGGATTTGTCCCCGTCTGTCTTGTGTTCAACGAAGGAAAGCGCCCTTCCTTCTTCAGAGAAAGCGAGGACTTTCTTTTAGCTACCGGCCCAAACTTGGACAACTTCTAATGATGTTTGTCCCGCATATCCCTAGATCGATCGGTATCTTTACTGATCGTTCACCTCTAATGTGACACGTTCCCATGGATCCACGAATTGTTGCCTCGCTCGAGAAAAGAGCTTCGTAGTTGCGAGTAAAGGAAAAAAGGAAACCAATTATTTGAGCTGGGAAAGCTCCTTCTATTAGGTGGTGTAATGCAAAACGCTCAAGAGATATAACAAATATGCTTGGCTGGACTCTTTTCTGTTTGTCGCCCATATGATGAAAAGATTAAATGTGTGGAGTTTTTAAGTATTGATCGATGAGATTGTGTCCGGACATAAGTGTTAAGTGGATTGGGGTTTATCGTCCATTGCCTTGTCCGGTGAGGATGCTCATCGAACAAAGCATTATCCGGTTGTGTTATTTATATTATAAGTGTTGGCCGATGAGTTTGTTACCGGACAGAGTGTTGACCAGTGAGTATGTTTTTACTTTCCGAGTATTGTTCGGATTGCTTGTGTTGACCAGTGTAAGACGTTATCGTCCACTATTGGCCGATGAGGGGGAGTTATCACCCAGAGCTGTCCGATGAAAACTGTTGTGTTTTCCAAAATGATGTTTAACAGTTTTAAAACTGTTTGTGATGAGAAGAGTAACTTGTATCTTTCAAATAATTTTAATTGATGAAATATATTGTTGTTTTCTTTCCAAACTATTAACTTAGAAAATTGTTTCTAAAAGAAATACTGAGATGAGATTGAAAAGTTGATTTAAGAACTTGAGAGTTCTTAAGATTAAAGTTTCTGATATGAAATTGTTTTGAGGCCATTATTGGCTAAAACTATAGATTTATCTGTAGATTTGAAAATGAAACAAGGGTGACATATCAATGAGAGGTGTACCATGAGATAAAGGTGACACATCAAGGAGAAGTGTGTGGGTGTGGATACTGTTGTAGCTCTTGTTGTCACATCCGTAAGATGCGATAATTATGAGTCTAACATTTCTTTGTGACATAAATACTTGGAAATATTGTTCTTATTAAAATGATAACAATGATCTTATTGAGAACGGGAAAATGGCTTATAGCCGGAGGCATTAATTGCCCTTGTTTCAAATGATTTTGTGATATCATATATGCTATTTTGAGTATTCAAAAGAGTAGTGATTTAAAATAAAACTCGAAGAGTCGTTGGTTATTATTTAATTAGTTTTCATTTGAATATAAATATTTTTATCTTAAAATCTTATAATAATAACCAAGAACTCTGGAAATTGGTATTTCTTGTTATGATTTGGAAGTTGAGACCGTAAGCTCTAGTATGATGAGACTTGAGGGCTTTAAGAGTTATGTTCCAGATGTCTGTAAGAACTTGAGTGGTTATGCTTCTAATGTGGTAAGAGCCCTTTATAACTTGCAGTTATTGTTTTATTGAGTTATATTTATTTAAAGTGGTTGGTATTCGAATGTGGGTTTTAAACAGGTTTTGGTGATCTTTACCCTATAATTGCAACTAAAATTGAATTGATTTTGACAGGATGGTTTAATTATCATAAAGAAAGGGAAGTGACTCGATTATAATGCATTGAAAATATTAATGCATTGAAAATAAATAACATTTTTTTATGACGATCCATATATAATTTATATCAAGTGATTCCTGCTTCAAGTATTTGATCTCTCGTCTCAATTAAGAACAAACAGGTTCAAGATCATCAGAAATTCCTTTTTCAAATCTTATTGCAGCTGTATGAACTTTTCTTATGCATCACAAGAGAATTTTATCTGCTATATTTTCCTTGATCATTTATATCTAGGGGTGTTAACAAGTCGAGCCGAATAGCAAATTGTTTGGACTAAAACAATACCAACCTCAACTTCCAATAACTTTTTCAATGCTCAAGCTCAATACCCATTTAACAATTTTATGTTACACGTTTGGGATTGCTTTTAAAAACAACTTGATTGACTTATTCCGGTGTGGCATCGGTAATAAGCAATTCTGAGTGTTTGGATAAACAACTTATACCGATGTCAAACCGATAATAAAAAGTTTTTGAAGAAGTTAAACCTTTCATAATAAGTTGATAAGTGTTTTTGTAGAAAACCATAAGTTGTTTCAAATAAACAAATCCCAAACACCCCCAAATTTATGTCCAAAAATTCAAATTTATAAACTTATTTACGAGCTCGATATCGACTTTAAAAAAATGTTTATATCGCACAAATCGGTGCAAGAAAAAATATGCTCTTAACTGTTTATTTTTGCCAGTAAGAAACTTGAGCATGAAAATACAATACCTTGAAATACAATCCATAATGACTACTCGGGAGTTGGGATATAGGCAAGTGTCAGATCAAAGTTCAACTAAGGGGCCATTTACTAAACGTTTATCCAGTAAGTGCTTACTGGCTAATTTTCTTTACTGGATGAACATGACAAAAGTCAAAAATCTTACCCAGTAAGAGTAATGATAAAGATGAAAGGTCTTACTTGGTAAGTGAATATGATGACTCTTACCCGGGTAAGCGCTTAAGCAAGTGAACCAATATGCTCTTAAAACTAATCACTATGAGTGACATTTTAAAGCGAAAAAGTCAAAAAGCGGTTAGTATGCCCGACCTTTGTAGCCATGATAACCCGTCCTTTCAGGTCTGACGAATGAAATCGGTGGATTACCCGGTCCAGCTTATAATCAACCCGAGCCCAACCCAAGTACCCTATCTGAGATAAATTTCACCTCAATCATCACCACTGATAACAAGAACCACATCAACTACAACTTGGAAACTTACCCTTTGAAATTTAGCAGCAATATGCCAATTTTATACTACAAAATCCTACTTATAACATTCATGTGAACCTAACGAAAAAACAGAGGGGTTCAAAATAACATTCAGTATAAACGAGCACAGAAAATCCCATATGAAGTAGGGTCTGAGGAGGGTAAATGTATGCAGAACTTACCTCTTACCAAAAACAAACATGCAGGATATGTACTCCAAAGACTGGCCATGGTATCCTGCATAAAAGAACAGATGCTATCATGGAAATATTTCTGGCCAAAATATGCATGTAGTGGGAAGCAATGAGAAGGGAAAATATTTGCAAGTAAGAATTTATTTATTCGACAAATTGTACAACGTATTTTGATCGCCTTTTGCTCACTAGTCTTTTCAGCCGAAAACTAACATTTTCGCACAGATGTGATCGAAACAAGCATGAAGATGATATCATTCTTACAGAAGGAAAGACTGATCATATCCCTACTTTTGTGCTCATAAAATGAGATCGATGGGCAGAAAATGGACCAAAGATGAGGTATATAGTATAGTGACTAGAGGGAGAATAAACAAATATATAATCTGGAAAAATATCGAAACATATCTTTGAACAACCATTGGGGACGAAACATAGTGCTCCTTATATTCCAGAGAAATTGCAGCGTTAAGACCAGAAGACAATTTGTCGAATATCTAAAATAGTGGGAATGATGACACGACGAGAATCATGTGGGCCAAAAACAATAGCATCAGCATTAGTATTAGCTTTGAAGTTCTCCCAAACAAATTCTTACAATTTGATTGCACATCAAAAATGAGATTTCATTATCCAAATGGCCTATTCATATGATTTAAATTGTTAATTACAACAATTGATATGAGGGGTTGGGTTCGGGTGAGAATGAATAGTTATGGTCAGAAGGGTAAGAAGGGATCTCCACCCTTGGACCAATCCTAATTGAAGATCAACAGTACGTAATGAGATGCACTGGATCAATTCCCATGACAAGTGCAATTCATGGGATGGGGGTGAGATTAAAAGTGATCAAGGGTCGAGATCCCTTCTTATGCTTCTCACATTAACTCCTATTCTCACACGATCCTTCGTCTTGATATGAGAGACAAAATATTATTATGTAGCATTTTCAAGTTGTCATAAGAACATTCTTGATATCCAACTCTTGTAGCTACAAGTGATAGATGGCTTTACCAAACAAAGGAGGCCCGAGAACCATCATTGTGTAATTCAAATAAAAATACCTATTTGTGACCGATCAAGCGCTTGCCACAACAAATCGATGGAAAATCCAAGGAACCATTTTTGAAATAAGGAGCAAATTAGGTTCACGAAAAGATCTAGGGAGATAAGATAATTAGTCGGTTGAGACTTAGAAACTTACTAGTGCTAAGATAATGGTCACGTATGTGAGTGTAAACTAGGTGGCTAGGATGAGACATAGAAACTTACTAGTGTAGAAGAAACGTCTACCATGAGTCGAGACATTCTGGAACATATCATTTGGAGTACCACATTGGCTAGACTCAAGCCATCAAACCTGTATATCAGGAACCTTCTCTCTCTCTCTCTCTCTCTCTCTCTCTCTCTATATATATATATATATATATATATAAGGGCTCTTTAAGAGAGAGATTCGAAGGACATTCCCATATCTTTACATGGTATCAGAGGCGGTGGTCTACAGCATCTAAGGACTCAACACACTCTTTCGCCTCTGTTCTAGGGGGCACCCTATGACCTCCGTTTGAGGGAGTGTGTAGAAAGAATGTTTTTTTAGCCCTTGCATTTTTGTTCATATGGTCACTCCTCTTTATGTCTAAAAAGAATAGCATATGCACTATGCTTCCCAAAATTTCCACTTTTTTGGGTTATCCAACCCGCTATGCAAGCCGACTAATCCCAGGGCAACCACCTGCTTTGCAGATAGCCCGGAGTCACTGCATTTGAACCTCCGCGGCCACAAAGGGATTATTATTCCTCCTTGGATTTGAACCTGGGACTCCTGGTACTTTTGACCTTTGGAGCCAAGTTCAAACCAATCAGGCACCACCCTTGTGGTTAAAATTTCCACTTTTAGTCATAACCCGACTTTGAAAATGATCAAAATAGCCTAAAACGGTCATAATCAAGACTCATACTTGTCTCGTTTGTCTTTTGCATCATTGTGTTTATCATCGCTACCTAACACCATTACATCTACTCCATGGCTAAACACCACAAGATGCAAATTACACACCCAAATTCACATCACAAGTCATTAGCACCAACCTATCCAACAAAACCCACAAAGACCACCACTACTTCTCATTATATTTTTCCTCTCTCGTTATTTTTATCTTTTTGATATCAAGTCCTTCACTATCCTAAGATCTTTTTGATTACTTGCCAGTTTGAGAGAAAGAGAGAGAGAAAAATTAATTTGACTTTTTAGATCTTCATGTTCTATAATGATTTCAAAAGGTAGAAAATAGTACGGTTTATGGCTTGATTTAGTTGGCTTCAATTCTAATATTGGTCCAGCATTACTTAGTTGCAGCTCTCATATTGCAAAATGATGGACTTTCAGATTGTCATCAATAGAATCGGTTTTTCCCAAGTTCTAAAGAATTTTTTAAACTCGGGGATTTATCGACATCAAGTTTGTAATCATCAACCTAATTCCAATCATGTTTCTAACTTTGTAGTTGTATATAACCAAAACAATGAGAATCATATTTGTTCTCTATCTTTCTACCCATCCTACAATGCAGATTGGTGAACTTTTAGCTTATTATCAACAGATTTGATAAAGAAGGTGGGTGTTGCAAGTGCAATGCCAAAGGAAACCCAAAATGTTTCGTGATTATACCACTTAAACAGTCATATTCTAAAGTTGAGATCAAAATACAAGTATGAAAATTTGCAACAGAAAACCCAAAAGACAGGCTTTGATCTATTACATTTATGAAAATTCTTTTTTATTTAGTTAACTAAACGTCAGAGGAATAAGGAAAAATGTATCAGAGCAACACCTCTACTTAAAAAGATGTTTAAATATATAGAACGTTAATAACCAAAACCATCCGACCCCATAAATCTCACTCGAAAGTAGGGTCTTTTGGGGGGAGGGAGATATGCATGTAGAGTCATAGACCTGATCCTACCCCAAAGAGTAAAGCGTTTGTTTCCATGAAGACCCCCGGCATGTGCAGAAGTAAGGGCAGACAGGTAGAAGGAACAAAGACTAGCACATGGTGCACATAGAACGAGAAAAATAAGTAAAAAATATATATAGAACTTTTTACAACAACAAACACAAAGAGTAAGAAGTAAAAACACAAGTAAATGTATTAGAAGATCAAGTATACCTAAGGATCAGCTAAGAGACATGTCATCTTCATCTGTATCTTGAGGCTTTAAAGGCCCTTTGAAGGAACTTTTATCATCACCAAGAAGCTCACGAGCTGCTTTCTCGAGAAACTCTTGGGCAGCAGTCTTCACAGAAGTTTTATCTGATGAAAGATACTTCCTCCTCTTATTGACGTTTCCCTCTGAATTCCCACGATTTACCCCTTCCCGTCTACTGATCTCCCTCATGTTCTTCCTTTGCTCTGTCAAGTTATGAATAATGATATTCAGGTAAACAGGAAACAAAACCTTCAGCTACATGTTAACAATGGTAAGGGCCACATACCAGGAGTTAGTTCAGGCAATGAATGCTCAATGAAACGGGTAGCTGCCTGATAGTTTAAAGTAGTTGAAGGTCGCAGGGGAGCTGCACATTATCATGGACATAAGTTCATTAACACATTTTGGAGTTATTACAAGCAATTATACCTAATCATTAGGCTATGTTTGACAAACTAATGTCTGATAAACTAATCATGTTTGGTAAAAACTAGCTGATAACCAATACAACAACGTAAAATGATCCAAGAGGACATATCTTACAAAAATAATTGTAAAAATATAAGAGGCATAATTGGAAAAGAGAAGTGGGAAAAGAAGCCCTTGGAGCTTGTGAAATGCTACTTTAAGTACATTTCAGAAAGCTAGCTTATCAGCTAACAAAGACAAACTTTTTCAATAAGCTCAAAAATAAAGCTAGCATATCACCATGTTCCAAAAGGTTTCATCAATTCATTTCTTTATAAACTATTCGGAAGAAAACTCACCATTGCTCAAATTTATGCACCTATCTAGCTTCTCCTGGTACAAGTTCAATCTCTCCTACATTTACATAACTTGATAGTTAACCAAAGATAATAACGGAATGAATTTAAAAGAACCAAGAAACACAGTTCAATCGAGCTTCCAACAAACCCACAAATTAGTAATAAACCCAAATGAGCAAAAACGTGAAAACAAACAATCAAACCCTACAAGTTCCGATCTGAGAGGATGGTCATCTGGGTCAACACCATTGCAACGCAGCTTCACTGGAAAACAAACAATATTTCAAAATGAGAACCCACTTTCTTTCTTTCTTCTCTATGTGTGAAGAGAGGAAGAGATAGAGATACATGTGAAGAGTGTGGTGGTGGCTTTGGCGAGCAAGAGCAGAGCTTGAGCACGCTGAAGAGGGTCCAATTCGGAGAGAGTATTCGGCTCACAAAGGGGCAAGAAATCGACGAAATGAGTTCGGAATTCTTCGAAGTTGGTTGAAGTTCTATTTACTGCCTCTGTTACCGACTCTGGAACAACTCCTCCATCCTCCATCTTCAATCAATGGTTTCTTGAATTGTAAAATCCAGCCAGCGTCGCCGCTAAATTGAGTTTGTCTAGTTAGGGTGCTTTCCGGGACAGGTTTTTGAGATTTTAAAGCTCGTTAATTTGCAATCTTTATTTTAATATTTTATTTTATTTTTTATTTTTTATATAATATGATTTTTATAGTTTTAAAAAAATGCTTTTATAATTTAA